TCCACGTCCTGGTCCCCATCGGCCCACTCCTGCTGCTCAAAGTCCTCAAACTCGTCGTCCTCCTGCGGATCGCGGTGCACCGCGGTCCGGGGTGAGAGCGCGCCGAATCGGAGGAGAGCAGTAGAGCCACTGGCGGTCATGGGAGGGCGACGGCCAGTCCCGCGCGACCCAATGCCCCGCCGCCGCGGGCTCGGATGCAGACGCGGAGCCGGCGTGAATCGGCGGCGCAGAGGAGACGGGGTGCGGGGAGGCGCGCGCGCCTCCAGCAGGTCGCGGTGCTGCGTCGTCGTGCTGCCCTTCTCAGCGCTCGCTGCCATGCCGGACGCCAGACGTCGTATAAAAAAAAATTTTGCCCGGAGAATCAGCGGAGCTCCCATCCCTCCCTTGGGTTGTCCGTTTTCTTTCTTTTTTCAGCGGAGCTGGGAATAGGACCGCCGCAAGCGGCGTGGCGTGGAGCGGTTGTGCATCCCTCCGGGGCCCCTCTGCGCCGGGGAGGCGTTGTTTAAGGTATGTTGTTGGAGGCTAGGACGCAAGCGTCCGTTTTTCAAACTCGGCCTAGAGCTTGCTCGGATTGTGAGCGCGCTGGTAGTAGTCGTAGGCGTCACGATTGAGAGCGAGGCAGCTCTCAATCCTCCAGATAAAAAGAACAGTGGCCAGGGGCACCAGCGACACCGGCCGCGGCTCGCCTCCACGCGCCGGCTCGGAAGAGGGGCTGTCGGCGGCGCAGCAGAGCGGCTCGCCTCGGCGCTCGAGCCGCCAACAGCCCCACTCCTCGACGTGACGGCCGCTCCCGGAGCCGGCCGGTGCGCGCCTGACCCACGCCCCCTCTCGCACCCCTCCGACCCCCCCTGCGCGGCGCACCTATCCGCTGTGCGCCGGCTCGAGCGCCTATCGCCAAATCGCGACGTTTGAGCGCAGCGCACGCGTCCCACACGTCACGCGCGCGCAGGAGAGCTTGCGGCGGACACGTAGCGTGTACTCGCCGAGGGCATCGCGCCGAAAACCCCGCGCATTCCGCCCCAGCAGAGGCTGCAGCCTCTGCGACAAAAACACCACTGTAAAACGGTGAGTACTTGGGGTTGAGTGGGCTTGCTTGCTCCCTACCGGGAGAATAAATAATAAATAAATAATAGAAATATAAGCCTGGCCCAAATTTACGTCTAAACATTAACAGGTGCCCTTAGGCTCCCTGCCGGGTTCATGGAGTAGTTTTCAACCAGCAATAGTCGCACGTCTCTGGAGATCATTCGTTACGACTTTGCCCCAAGCGCAAGAATACCGGATGAAGCGCCCGCCGATTGGACCTCGCCCCGGACGTCACCACCCCGCTTGTGGCAAAAACAGAAGGAGACGCGCGCGAGGCGACACAGCCGCACCGCTCTCCACATCAGTCACCGCCACATACAGCGAGCACCAGCGCCGCCCATGTGTGTCCGCTGCCGACTCACCTTCGGACTCGCCGACTCCTCCCGCGAAAACAGAGGCGTGGAGGCCGAGAAGAGAGTCGACGAGGAGAGAGAGGGACGAAGAGAGTCGACGAGGAGAGAGAGGGACGAAGAGAGTCGACGAGGAGAGAGAGGGACGAAGAGAGAGGAGAGAAGGGAGAGGGGACGAAGAAAAGAGGGACGAAGAGAGAGGACGAAGAGACAGGACGAAGAGGGGGGGGGGGGGAAGGGGACCAAGAGAGAGAAAAAATCTTTTGAGTTGCGTGTAAAAATTCTTTTATCGACGAGTAAAATTCTTTTTCTCGCGATGTCCACCCCGCCGCGCCGCTCGCGTCGCCG